TAGGTATCAGAGGTCTTGATCCAAAAAACCAAGGACCAGCCTCTAAGACATCTCTCATTTTCTCCTCTGAATGAAAATCAAAAAGGAAAACTCCTTGTTTAATTAAAGAAACTTGCGGGATTGAGATTTTGCTCCATAGCTTTATGACATAAGATTCCATAGATTTGAATTTAACATTCAAACCTATAACATGACCTACCAAAGCATACTTTCAAAATCCTTCTTTTTCTTTCCATTCATCCATAGAGAAAGCAACTGTGTTAGCTTGGGAGGAGGGAACAAAATTTAGGGATAATCCCTTTCCAGCTTTTCTATTATCAGCAAATAAACTTGCATATGTTTTTTCCATGACAGGCTGGTTATTTCCAGGTTCAGGATTGAGATTCTCACTATTAGATTGAATCTTTACCGCATCCATATCATTTTTACCAGAATTTTTCTCTAAATCAGAATTTTCAGCATGAACACTAGATTTTCCAGCATGAACATCATTTACATCTTCTCCTTCATGGTTATTTCTTGATTGAGCATTAAGAGAAGAAAACATCTCTGTATTCTCCTTCATGGTTATTTCATGGTGTATTTTAGCTAGCACTTCACTCATCAGCAACTTCTTCTTCGCACTCTTAGGACCTGTACTCTTCATGATTCCGGAGGTCTCAGATTCTTCCACTGTTTCATTGGATTCACCTCGAGGGAAGGGAAGCACGAACATTGAATTCCTCAGCTCATTGCTCAGATCTCTATTCTCATTGCTCTTCTTCTTCTTCCTCATTGAAAACAAGGTGAGGTGCACGTTAGCAAGTAGATCTCCCGCTAAAATACACCATCAGTCTCCCGCCCCTTTTTATTGAGAAAATATGTCTATCAATAATTAAGATGTATTGCAGTCTTGTGGAAAGTATGTACTCTGTGTTGAGCTTATATAAAACATCTTAATATTAAGTATTTGGTTATATTTTATTAACACATCAATAATACATTATTGTATTTTTTTCAAACTTAACACTACCTTTAATGACTAAGATAAACAAATTGGAGATTAACGATTTGATCTGATAAACAAATATGTTACATGAAGTTTGATATATACAAATTTAAAAAATAATGTTGTGTATGCAAGTATATAAAAATATAGTGATCTCAGTTTTACACGCAAATCTATTTCATAAATTTTTTAAAATTTTTAAATAAATTTATGGTAAATATAATAATCCATATTTAAAGATTAACTCAAGATGAATCTGACTTATTTTATAGCAAGAAAATAAACAAAAAAAATAAATAATTTTGATATTTAACTACATGCATTGCACGTGCATAAGAACTAGTAAGTAATAAATGAGCAGGTGATGGAAACTAAACACGCATCATTAACTTAGAAGGTTAAAAGCCTGATTTTTTTATATATGACGTTTAGTTTCTAGATATTCCTTTTTTAGTCATATACATGTTCTTCTAAATTGAATTGAACATAAATATTTTTCTGAACTACTGCTTCTCTTCTCTATTTTTTATATATACTCACTTTTTATGGATTTGAGCATACAAATGACTTATATCAATAATTTATGGCATATGAATTATCAAAAATTAGATAATCTATATTAGAGTTTTTCCTTCAAATAGTTTGAAACTTAAAAGATGGCATTTATTTCAAAATTTATAATTTAGAGCTAGATAGTCTAACCTCTAGCCTCTCCTTTACAATATTCCCTTTATTTATAATATTCTAAAATAAAAAGAGAAAAAAGAAAATTTTGGCTTGCCGAATGAGCGTGTGAATATTTTTTTTTAAAATTTTAAATTTTAAATTAGATGGTTTAATAATCAAACTCTCTTTTGTAATATATATATTTTTTAAATATTTAAAAACAAAAAGGGATATAAAAAAACCTGATGCTTCATATGGTCACAACATCAAACATATCTCTTCGATGTAGGAACAATGGAGATTTTGCTGGCTATTAAGGTCATCTTACATTGACGTTTAATTGAAAAAACTTTTAAGATTTGGTAAGAACTAAAGAGTTTATTAAGCTAAACAACGCAAATGAAGAAATTAAATAAAACGTCACAATTAGATGAAATATAAAACATTCATATATTGATTTCTAAAACAATCTCACGCTTAAACCTCAATTTTGTGATCTTTGCATTATAATTTCAACTTAATTAGAAACGTATATGTGGCTTTCAAATATCTATAAAAAAAATCTTAAAAATCAAAATATTTTTTCCTTGAATAATATGGAGAACTCATTAGAATTTCAATATAATTAATAAAAAAATATCATATATAGTGGGGAGAATTCAAGATAATATTTTGGACAATTTGTGTAATTCATTTTTTACTTTTTTGGATCGTAGGAAATATTTTTGTAATAGGAAAGTTTCTAACTTTATAAATATTAACGTGTTATATGGTTTTTACAGTGTCTTGTATTCTATTAATATTTTGAAGAGAGACACATGTGAACCAAAAATCCCTCTTTATAGAAATCAATAAAGACATGATATCAAATTAATAAATAATAAAAAAATGAGAAGTTCATTATTAATATTTTATCATCAACTTTAAATATAATGTGACACATGAATAGCTTTACATATATGATTTTAGAGTTAAATTTAGACGAACCCTCTCAATTATGGTGGACGTCTTTCAAAGCTCTTCTCAACTATTTTAATTTAAAAAAACCATCCTAAAGGTTGACTATATTATAGATTACCCCACTCAACTTTGAAAATAAAAGAAAACTCCCTCAACTATGAGGTGTCTTATAAAATCCCCATAATCTTTTATACTTTTCTCACCGAACCCCTTATGTCATTTCAAAATATAAAATAAGTGAATACCATTTTACAAATCAACCCGTTTAATTACCAAGAAACTCCCAACCGGTAAAAAAAGAATTATTTTTAATTTACAACAAAATTTGCCCTCTTTCTCCTTTATTTCTCTTATCCATCAGTATAATTTTTATGGTTGAAGGGTATTTTGGCCTTTTTTCAGTTACCCACCGATAATGTGACATGCTAGACCTGGCAATGTAAGTTTTTAGCGTGTAAAGTGAGAAGAGTTTATGAGGATTTCTCAAATTTTGAAACTGGGAGAGGGGGAAGCTATCTACAATAAGCTCAAACTCGTAGGGGTTTCACAAATTAAAATAATTTTGAGGGTGTTTTCTGAGACATACTCCATGTTTGAGGTGGTTAAGTGAGGAAAGTTTAAGGGCTTATCTTAAATTTTCATAATTGAGGTGGGTTATCTATAATATGTTCAAAATTGAGCGGAGTTTTCTAAAATTAACCCATAATTTTATGTAGAAAGGCTCTTTACATGAGTTTTTATTCTTTATTTTCTATATTTAAATATATAATTATAAGATTTTTTTAATTACAGATAGTTATAATTTGATAAGGATTACAAAACATTTAATTATTAAAATTTTCTACTTATAGTAGTTTCAATTTGATGAGAATTCTCAGATGAATATAAGATTAAGTGTTTACATTTTATCTTTTGATGTGATAAACCGACAAAGAAGCATCTGGATACTTGTGATTTGACACATGTCAACTTTTTTTTGTCTTTATAACATGACAGGTACCAATTTTTTTTTATGTTTTTTTGGAATTCCAACAATTTCTCAGAGGGATGTTAAATTTAGATCTTTCCGCTTTCTATCTAAGCAACAAAAACTAGATATTGCCCTAAACTATTCGACATGAAAATATCCAACGGATTTGATAAACCGGAGGATATCACTAGAACTTCAAGTGAAGAAGTGAACTTAAAAAGGGTAATATAGCCTCCAAATCAAAACGGTAGCAAGCTAGAGGGGCTAATTTGGAACATTTTCCAACGATTGAGCAGCCTAATAACAATTTTCATGATTTGACTGGACTAATTTCAAAATGGTGACGCGATCAATGACCCAAACCACCACAACCGCGTCCCTCTATATAAACCCACGTTCACTGCTCATCCAACGCCAGCGAATTAATCTCGATATAAACCCTTTATAGAATTTTCGAGAGATCGAGAGAGAGAGAGAGAGAGAGAGAGAGGATGAGCGGAAACGGGAAGGTTGTGTGCGTGACCGGAGCATCAGGTTACATAGCATCGTGGCTGGTGAAGCTCCTCCTCGGTCAGGGTTACACCGTCAAGGCCTCTGTCAGAGACCCCGGTAAAATTTCATTTTAAACCCCCTCCTCAGTTTTTTATTCTGTCTTTGGTACATGGGTTTCAGATATTTTCTGCTAAAACCTAATGATGAACGTGTGGGTCTATTGATATTTGCCATTTTATAATTAGATTTTAAGGTTCTTTCTTTCTTTATTTATTTATTTAGAAATTATATTATGGTTTTGTGGTAGATGGGAAGCAGAATATGTTGAAATTTAGGATTACCTTTATCTCTTACACTCATAACCGAGGCATTATGGCGCCTGTCAGAGACCCGAGTAATTAAAACCCCTCCTCAGATTTTGACCCTTTTTAATAAATTAGAAGTATAGTTTTGCTGCAATATTCTATTGGTGCATGGATTGCAAAGATTTTGTGTTAAAACCCTAGTGAAGAATCAAGAAGGTGTAAGCTTGTTGATTTGTGCCCTTTTTCTGCAAACCCATTTCATTGGATAGGGGTTTGATGGTAGATGGGAAGTAAACATAATGGAATAAAAAAATGGTGAAAATTAAAGCAAGTATCCAGGTGAAAAGGGAAGGGGTTTGCTTGCTGTTCGTGTCAATTGTGAAAAATTCAATCATGGGTTATGATTATCTTTAGATTTGTAACCGAGGGCATTGCTACTAAGTAAAAAAAAATTAAGATTAAGCTTCATATGGAGCTTTGATTTAGTGAAGATGCATGTATACTTTGTGTGAAGTATGAGCGCGATCAGTAGAACAGTTATCTGGTCATTGAGGAGGTGGAATTCTTATGAGAAATTTATGTTGTCAAACTAATCAGACTAATCTAACCATCTTATTTAGGATAACGAGAGTCTGAATTGGTTTAAATGTCTATAAACCGAAAAACCTCACATGAGCATATCAGTTTTATATTGCATGGGGTTTACGTAATTCCATTTTTCATGTTTGCCTCTACGCTTGGCAATTTGTATATTGATTTTTTAAATCTTTGGTGAAATGTGTATCTTTGGGATGATTATCATGCACTTAATAGATTTATCATGGAGAGATGTGATGATTGCTTGAGTTTAGGCCCTCTCCAATGCTCAAAATTAGGATCTGAAGGATTGCCAGTTGTATTCTTAGGGAAAAAGATGCCAATGGAAACCCGTATTTTGTTTTTGAGCTCACCACCTTTCTAGTTATTCAAAGTTCAAACTTGAAACTGTTACGGCATCTGATACTAACTTGCTTTTATCATGTAGAAATTTATCATAACATTAGATAATGAATCTATATTTCTATACCATGCTGATTGAATGTTTTATTTTAATTATTTTTTTAATGGTAGAAATAAAATCCATTCACTGAACAAGTAAAAATCTTTTAACTAGTATCTGCACCGTGTCAGGATATTATTACAAGTAAACGATACTAGAATTTCACACACCAAACCTTTGTGTATGATGCTTTGTTTTGTTGCATATATTAGATACCACTGTATATCAAGTTGACTGTTGTTTGGCAGTAGAAAAACAGAACAGGTCTCTGATAATTTTCTTTGTGCGTAACATTCAACCTTTCTTTGCGTATACCCGTGCGCTCCACATATTCATAACACTAATTAGGAAAGGGATCCTAGATTTCTTTGTCCTAATTTGGTGTCAGATGTTCTTTTATCTTACTGCTCTTGGTAGATATCTCTTTCACATTAAAATTCATTTATCAACAGGATATATAAATTAGTTAAGTTCTGTATATTTGCTTCTCTAGCTTGCATGCCGTCATTGCTTCTATGGAGTCTCTTATTACACATAAGGCTCTTTTTTACATTTCTTGATTCCTATCTAACAGCAATGCATGTGTTATCTTTTTTAGCTGATCCGAAGAAAACAGAACATTTGCGTGCTTTGGGTGGAGCCAATGAGAGATTGCATCTGATTAAAGCAAATTTATTGGAAGAAGGCTCTTTTGATTCTGTTGTTGATGGGTGTGAAGGTGTCTTTCATACTGCTTCTCCATTCTATCATGCTGTCACGGATCCACAGGTTTATATTCTAATCTTTGCTGGATCAGTATGAGTTCCTTGATTCTATTTTAGCTGCATTGGTTTATTTTATGCTGTAAGGTTCTTTCTAACAAAGCAGTTTGCATCATCGGATTAGTGCTGTCCTGATTTGGTGTATTTTCCATTCCATCTTCTTTTAGTTTTTTTGTGGAAATTATTTAAATGGATAGGGGATCTTTGTTGGTTGAACAAAGTACTTAGTTATTGTGGTTTTGGTATAGTTATTGGTTGACAAATTATGAGAAATTGTGTTACATTAGGATCGTACAAATGGATGTATCTACGCTGTTTCACGTGAAAGCTATCTAGCAGCATATAGCAACTTAAAACATAGGAAAACTGAATCCTCCATGTATTCTACTTCTAGTAGATTTTACTTCTGTAAGGGCTGTGAGTCATGCTTTCTTTTAGTTTCTGCTGTTGATTAAATGATGTTATATTGGTTCCTATTTTGTTCTCTAGTTATATGATAATTTTTAGTTCTGTTCTATTGTTACTTCATTGTGCAGCTTACATCCATGTATTTGGCCTGAAATATGGGCTTATATAATCTTCTTCTAACTAATATCATGAAAGTTTCATTTGTTATATACATCTTGGGCCCCTGGGAATCCTTAGTTGCCATACTTTTACTTTTATTTGCAGTCATTACGGATGAGATGGAATACTGTTTTCATTTTCATCTTGGTCTGCGAGCATACTAATATATTTTTTCAGTTTGACAAAAGTTCATTATTGGTTTACTGTCCTTTCCTTTTTTCAGGCCGAGTTAATTGATCCTGCGGTGAAGGGAACTCTTAATGTTCTGAGTTCGTGCAAGAAAACTCCAACAGTGAAAAGGGTTGTTGTTACCTCATCCATGGCTGCTGTTGCATTTAATGGAAGACCACGAACTCCTGATGTGGTAGTTGATGAGACGTGGTTTTCTAATTCGGAATTTTGCAGGCAGTCAAAGGTTGGTGCGGATATTTCTATATAAACTCTAGACTTATTTGTCCCATGGCTAATGAGTAGGATGAGTATTTGCAAATCAAGATTGAAAAACTAGAATCAACTATAAAGCCAAGGATCAATAGAAAAGTGAATTTTTGTAGTCAATGTTATTGTTGTGGTGTTATATCTTCTTTCAACAGGTTGGGGTTTCACAATTTTATATGCCAGTAATGATAAGGAACAAAATGGGAAGTTGTTAAGAGGGTAGCTTTATGGTTAGTCTTTTAGTTCTTCCTACAAGGGTAAGGTGTGACTTTATTGCACCATTCTTTTATGCGCTTTAATATGTTCTGCTAAAAGGTTTGTTGTGCGGTTGTTCTCGAGTATACCTTATTGACAGTTTCTTAAAAAAAAAAGGAACAGAAAAAAGCAACATACTACCTGCCTTTTCTTCTTTAAATTGCTTTTAATTCTGCTGAAATTCCACATTTAGTTTTTATTTTCATGATGAAGTTTTTTTTTGGAATATTACGTGTTATACTTTACATGTTCTGATATCTCTGAGCGAGTAACGTTCTTTGCTATTGGCTATCATATTTATGGAAGTTTTGATTCCCGATTTCTGAAATTTGCAACTAATGTACTATGGCTTAAGGCAGTTTCAACAGAAAACAATCATGTCTCTACTCCTTTTTTCCCCTCTTTCTCACTACAAGTTGATTACTTTACAAGCATTTGACTTATATCTGAGATTCACAGATCTTTCGGTTTATAACAGTTATGGTATGTACTATCAAAGACCTTGGCAGAAGAGGCTGCTTGGAAGTTTGCAAAGGATAATTCGATAGATATTGTTACAATAAACCCAGCAATGGTTATAGGGCCTCTTCTTCAGCCAACCCTTAACACAAGTTCTGCTGCAATCTTGAACTTGATAAATGGTATGTTATGACATGTTGCTCATGAAAGATCAGTTTGCATGCATATCATCTTCTTGATGGCTAAGTTGTAGTGAAACCCTAGATTTATCTTTATATGATGGAAAATGTTTTTTTCTTTCCAATATATGTGGAACTTTCTTTGTATCTGACAAAGTTTTTTTTTTTTTTGGTCAATGAAAATGAATTTTTATTCACCCACCAAATATGAACATGTTTGCTACATCATGAACACCAGAAAAGTCTGGTAGTAGACAAGAAGAAAAAATTACATTCTTTCTAGCTTCTCCTTCATTTGAAGAGGAAGGTTTTCATTCAGAATTTTAGAATAGATGGACATTTTGATTGCATGGAAAAGTTTTTCAGGCTCACGAGCTTTGCACTGAAAAATTCTCGTGTTTCTCTCTTGCCAAACCATGTACACTGCTGCTGAGAAGACCATTCTTTTTTGCTTCTGCATAAAACCCTTGCCTTTGAGTCTGTGGCTGTACCATCTAATAAGTTGATTCCAATCACATGATCTCCAGGAGAAATCTATCCAATTCATAACCTTGTTCCAGACATTTGCCGAAAACTGACATTCAAAGAAGAGGTGTGCACATGTCTCAACCTGAATGTTAGAACACAGAACACATTGGTTTGTGCTCAACAAACCCAATCGGCATAATCTATCCTGTGTTAAAAGTCTGTAATGATTTGCTAGCCAAAGTATGAATGAATGTTTAGGATATTGTAGACCCCTCCAAACTGTATCAGCCCAGGCGACAGAGGGGACATCTTGATTTATAGCTCTGTATATAGCAGATACCTGGAGCTTACCACCTTTGCAGCAACCTGAAACAACTTGCTGAAAATTTCCAGCATCACCAAATTTACTCATGTCCCTCAACTTAATGAGTTGCTTCCACATCCAAGAGTCATTCACTTTTGATTGAACTTGCCATATTTATTGATCATCACCAAATTTATTGATCATCATGTATCTGACAAAGTTATTTCCAAATAAACATCACATGTCGACAGGTGTATTATATGAAGTTATGATTGTTCCATTTGGTTCTTTGTAGGATCATCAACATATCCCAATTCAACCTTCGGGTGGGTAAATGTCCAGGATGTTGCCAAGGCACATATCCTAGCATATGAAGTTCCTACAGCAAGTGGAAGATACTGTTTAGTTGAGAGTGTTGCTCACTATTCAGAGGTTGTGAAGATTTTGCGAGAACTATATCCTTCTCTTCAGCTCCCTCAAAAGTAAGTTGTTATTATATCCAACTATTTTTTCCTTATTTTTGCAATATGGTGTATAATATTGAAATCATGTTGAACAACAAGAATTCCTTATTATCATTTTGCCATTCTGGACTTTTTTAACATGACTATGTACTGTTATTACTGTGTACTTTCTGCCCTTTTCATCAAATGGTTTTTGTTTGGCTATGAATCTGTATCAAATTAAACCTTATTGCATTTGTTCTTTCTCATGGTTTGTCGGACTTTGAGCGAACTACAGCTTTGTATATATGGAGCCAAAAAATTGTCAAGCCCACCGGTTATTGTTGTCAAACCATTTCTAAATTATTCTGACGCACCTGTTACTATAGAAAGTTTGCCCAAGTTTTTTCTGTCACTTCTATCAATATCATTACCCTTTTGGGGGTTGCAGCTGCCATCTTTAGAGGGCCTTCAGTTACCATTTTCGTCCAACCATAGTTGGTTTTTGTGTATTACATATAGGTTATATATTAAAAATAATATTAAATATACATGTTAGAGTATAAATGTATAGCCCTCAATCTTCGCCATAACTTGGAAGTTCTGGTACATAGGTAGGGTCCTTTAGCATGGTACCAAAGCAACCTAGGTTCAAATCCTTTTGGTCACGAATTTGTAAAGCGAATTTTAAAAATGATACCACTCTGTGGTCCGCAACATGTGGGGGCATGTTAGAATATGGAAGTATAACTCTCAACCCTAACCTCAACTTCAGAGGTTGGTGTAGCGTGATGTAGTGAAATGGTCCTTTGACAATATTTAGGTCTTTGACAATATATTGTAGTAGTTCCCACTTGAGTTGTCTGTCCTTCTACCTGTATCCAATGTCTAGGCATAAATTTGGACCTGAGATGCCATTAAGCACAACCTTCCATATCAAATTAGATCCCAAGCTCACTAACCACTCCATCTTGTTGCACATTTGGTCTTAAACAAATTCCTTAACAATAAGAAGTTTACTAACATTTTTTTTGGTTTCAACTCCTTTGTATATGAATATGAATAAAATGTTACCTTTTCCTACTTGGAATTGATGTTACTTATGTTCTGTTCCATGTAATGCACAATGAGTCCCTTTACTACATTTGAAAATCCTATTAAGGACCATTTATGGAAAATCATATAGGTAGGGAGCAGATTGTGAGGCATGTCCCACTATCAATTATTTTAAATCGGTGGAATCAGTGTACAATATTGCTGCAATCAGAATATTGTACCACTGCAATTTGGTTATTGTATCAATGCATCACAAACTTCAAAATTTGTACTGGGAGGCTTGTGTACTCTTGAACTATAGTCTTCATGTTACACATACGACATGATGCCGTCGTCACCCCCCTCCCCCCACCTCCTTTTTTTTTCATGGAAGATATGCCTTTGACGCACATAACAACAAGACATTCTATAGAAAATCATATTGGAAGTAATATTGTGACATGTCTCATACTATTAATTTTAAATTAGTACCATCAACATACAAGATATCAGTGCAATGAGAATATTGTGCTAGTACAATCGGATTATTGTATTAGTAATTTAGTACAATGGTATTAGTACATGCACCAACTTTTAAATCTGTGTTAACCACTTGTTATGTCCTTCCGCCTTGCACATGATTTCCTATAGAGGTCTATATGGGTTTTGATCCTTCCTATTTTTGGTTTCTGTAACTAACCACATTGCATTCTGGCTGACTGCAGTTGTGCTGATGACAAGCCCTTTATGCCAACTTACCAAGTTTCCAAAGAGAAGACTAAAGGGCTCGGCATCGACTACATTCCTCTGAAAACAAGCCTCAAGGAGACTGTTGAAAGTTTGAAGGAGAAGGGGTTTGTGAGCTTTTGAGAAAGAAACTGACGACTTCTTTAAAGTAAAATAGATGCCTATATTGTTATATTCTGCATCAATATAAGCTGTCGCTTAGAAATTTATATATATCTGAATAAAGTGGAGGATTTGAACCTTAAAAACTTTTTGAATATTGATGAAAGGTATTGTTCTTCTCCAGTAGTCATTTTGATATTTCCCAAGAATAAAAAAGCGCAAATAAGGAATTCCCAGGAATCAAAAGCACAGATTGGCATGCTTACTATATTTTTTGTCTCGTGAAACTTTCAACCTAGCTTTTTGTTGGTACATATTTTCTCTTCCAATCATTTTTATGTTACTGTTCATGGTTCTTTTGTGCAAAAGAACTTCGAAATTTCGTTTTAAAACTTGACGCATTTTCAACCCATAAATTGTACCAATTGGCTTAGGTAGCCTTCACAACTCAAGGCATGCATGTCAGCCAAAATTTCATGCGGACAACCGTTACGTTTTGAGCTAGCAATTGAAGGTAACAGAAGAATGAGGTCAAAGTGCCAAAACGCATTTCAATTTGGGATCGAAACATCAATCAATTGGATGTTTTGATCTACCTTAAGGATCAGTGAACTGAGACTCTTTGTGTATTATGGAACATAACGACGTAGCGGAAGCGTAATTAAAAAGATAACTACTCATTAAAAGGAGTAAAACGACACAAACCATAGAAATTCTCGGATATAAAACTTCAGAAGAACAATTTTTCAAAACAACTCCATTTAATTTTTTTTATTTTTAAAATCGACCCTTTTTTTTATTTACCAAAACCGACCCGTTTTTTGATTAGCAGCCTAATCACCCTCCTAAACAGTCGGAGTTGTCAATCCCGACTATTTAGGAGGGTGTTAAACCCCAATTAGAAGCCTTAAACCGTAAAAATTTATGTCCTAAATAGTCGGGGTTGGCAACCCCGACTATTTAGGAAGGTGATTAGGCTGCTAATCAAAAAAACAGGTCGGTTTTGGTAAATAAAAAAAAATTGGATCGATTTTAAAAATAAAAAATTTAAATGAGGCTGTTTTGAAAATTTGTTCAACTTCAGAATTATATAATAACCGACATGAAGAGTCTACATAAATTAGTCCACCTTCTGCAGGGTATAAAACAAAGAGAAGGTTCCAAACTAACATTTTCTCAAGGAAATGAACTTCCTAGAAATAAAGGACTTTTATAAAAACTAGAAACTAAAAGAAACCAGAACTCTTTGATGCACAGTTTGATCTCTTTTGACCCTGAAACTCGGCTAGTGCGACAAAGCTATTCTAGACGACTCTTCCATGTGCAGTTTGATTTCCCTTGACTGAAACTAATTTGGAAAGACAAAGCTATTCTTGATGTATAGTATCTTTTGAGTTTTCCAAAAACATATATAATAGCGATTATATTGAGGTAATCAAAATTTACGGTCCGTTGAAAATTACACGTCGAAATCTGGTCAAATTGTCCTCTTTTCTTGGATTGTCCAGGCTTCGCACGATTTGACTTCTCCTGAAAGGCATCAGCAATTGATTCTGCATCGCATAACCACATAAAATTCTTATACTGCTCAACTTTGAGGTGCTCACATTTAAAAAAAATTATGTATCTAATATTTTCATGGACATAATTTCAAAATTATCTAATTCAGAAAACTAGTGAACAGTCATGGATTTGATACCTAAAGCTCATCGTGTAGCTCCTCTATCTGACAATATCATTATAAAAAATGCTAGAGGCACATCATCTCAAGCACATCCCCAACCATATCCTCTCTATCTACAGTGCAGTGGGTCCCATCAAGCGTGGGACCCACTGCACTGTAGATAGAGAGGATGTGGTTGGGGATGTGCTTGAGAGGATGTGCCTGTAGCACTCCTCTATCATTATTTGTCAGAATCATCTGCACTGTGCAATCTGTTCGACTCCACTAAAAATCCAGTACTTGTTATTTCTATGCTACCCAATACAATATCAGAAAAACAAATTTCACAAGTAACTCCTGATGTCGAACACACTGCGGACATATTTATGGAGAAGCGAGATTGACATATGTCCAAACGCGGACCTGGTCAAGGAAAATAACTTGTAACGAAGAACATGTCATATCTCATAAACCGTAAGTCGGAATTGGACGAATTATATATGCAAATCGCATATTTTTTGGAGTCGGAGTCAACCAAACCCACCGTTGTTCGGTTTGCCACTGTCAATTTCACCAAATCACTCCGGATTTAGAGATATCAGCTTTTTTTTTATCAATTTTTTACTATTTTAGGTAATATTTTAGGAGTCTATTTTGATTAGGAAGCAAATCCGGTTTGTTTCCAAAATTGACCGATTTACTTCCCTAATCCTAAGGAGTCTTTTAGGAAGAGTTTTGTTATTTTTATTTTTGGTAAAGTTTGAGTCATGGTAGGAGTCTTGTTTGTTTTCTATTTAAGCAGAGTATTGTAAGTCCTAGAGGCATAACTTTTCATCAATAAAATTCCTTTTTTAATATTTTCTTCGTGGATTCAAAGTTATTCGTGAATACAAAGTCGTTTTTTATGGATTTAGAAAACACCACTTAATAGATTCCAAGGTTATCACTTCCGAGCTGCATCACCTCCTCACAACCAAACTTCTCTTTTTATTAAAAAAATCTCCATAACCTATATAAAGCCAAAAGGTTTTCTATGTGGATATAGAGTATCTTCTTTACTTGCTGTAATAGTCATTCTCATTTATATGATGTGGTTGTCATCCTCTAGAAGTGACTGTCCATGATAGAAAGAGGATTATTAAATCCATCAGACTTGTCAATTGTCATCCATGAATTTGGACCTCCCTGGGCTCTTGCATGGGATTCAACGATAAACTCTAGGTACGACTAACTCAACCCAAACTCTTATTTGACAATTTAAATATAACTTAGACAAGTATTTTGCTCGTGCTTGTACAGATAAATTTTACATGTAGAATAAAAAAAATAAAGAAGGTAGTGGAAACCAATCCGCATTATTAGCTTAGAAGGGTAGAAGTATGATACTTTATTTATTTTTTATCTAATGTTTAGTTTCTAGAGGTTTTTTTTCTTTAGTCATATGCATATGCTTCCAAATTAAATTGAATAGAATTTTTCTAATTTGTTGCTTCTCTTTTATATTTTTCTTTATATATAATCCAATTGTTATGGATATGAGCATGCAAGTGGATTAACACCAATGAGTTATAGCACACAGATTGTTGGAAATTAAACAATTTGAATTGGAGTTTTTTCTTCAAATAGTTTGGAACTTAAAAAAAAATTATAAGAGGCAGATGACTTTTATTTCAAATTTGAAATACAGAGTTGCATAGTTAACCCCAGACTCTTCTTTACAATATTCCTCTTTTATAATATTCTAAGATAAAAAGAGAAAAAGAAAAAGTTAGCTTGCCAAATGAGCATGTGGATTTTTTATTTCAAAATTTAAAATTTAAAATTAGTAGCCTAATCATCAAACTCTCCTTTGTATATCTCTCCTTTTTTATATAATACTAGATGGAACGCACGTGTGATGCACGTGGTCAAATATTATAATCATTGATTTTTAGTTTATGTATCTACTATAACATAGTTGCAAAAAAATTTATGATTATCATAATATATTAAAAAGTTTTAGATATTTCAATATATAAAATCTTGTTGGTTTTAACACTTTACCTTACACATAATTAGTGAGGTTTAAAGTCTTAAAATATTAATGATCTAAGAGCAATTTAATGATTTGGAATTCTAATTTTAAAATATTAATGATGTAAGTACCAATATTTAAAAAACTATTATTATTAATGAAAAAATAAATATTGAATTTATCAATGTAAAATGATAGGTTTATCTGATCATAGAGGATTTTGTTTAATTATAAACAAATCACTCGTGCCTATTATCTACTTCCACTTTCTATTATCTGGCGACCAAGTATTATAGATATTCAAAAACTTTTCTATATAATTTTCACAGTTAGAAAGTGCAAATTCAATCAAGAAAGAAAATATAAATTATGTGATCAATTCCAAAATCTGATATTATATCTTCTTACATCTTCTCAACTAATTAATTAATTTCTCAAAATGATTACTCTCCAATTTTAGAAAACTATAAAATATAAATTGAGAATGATTTAAACATATTTTGTATACATATGGATTTTATTTTAACAAAATAATATAGATCTATCCAATATTAAATAATATCCAAAAATTTACACTAAAGAGTTAAAAGAATCTAATAACACTCATATCCAAACTGTATGCTTCATAAAGGTGAGACATATAAAATAAACAACTTAATTTATTTTGTTAAATAACTTATTAAAAATCATAAAAGATAAGGAGAACCATAAGGATCACATAGTCATCCCAAATAAAGATTAAATTTCTCTCTGCGAAATTTGTAGCAAAAGATTTTTAGAGATACTGATTGTAGGCGTCTAAAAATACTTATAAGTGTCCGCACATAGCTCGAGACGGAGAGAAGATGACGAACGTCGTTATCTGAGTCTAGGAGGATTATCTGATGCTGACAAGTATATGAATTGGAATGGCGAACCAACCGTGTCTCGTGCGCTCACTGGCCACCTCCAATTGGCCGTCACACCTGTCTGTCAGCTCGCGCGCGTCGGTCAGCTTCAAGTACCATAAAGAACCTAACGAGCACATGAAACAAGTTAACAAAACATGCAAGTCAACGGAATGACGAAATACGCAATACAAGTCCGGAGAAGTCAGAAAGTGTCGAACACCTCAAAGTGGCTCGCAAAAATAAGGGGCATTTAGACCATGCTAAAATTTGAATCTGAGGAAACTTAAAAGATAAAAGTTATAGGTATCTTCGTCAGCTTTCTAACGCATCTTAAAACATCTCAATCTGAGATCGGATAAAAAAGTTAAGACCAAAATACCGAAGATGTTTCAAACTGACCCGCGAGGCAGCGGGTCAGATCAATCCTGTTAGACCCTAGAGGGGGGGGTGATTAGGGTCTTATACTAATTTAATCTAATTTTATACAAATTAAAACTAATAACAAGTTATTCTAGCAAGTATGAAATACAACAAGATATATGAGCTAGGATAAGCAATATGAACAAAGAGATATATCCCAGCAATGAGATATACTATAAGATATATGCAAAGATATACAAATTAACACAAGGGTGAAATAAACATAAACAAAACAAGAGTGATAGTGTG